GTAGCAGGAGGCTTAGCACTCTTTAGTCACAGGACTGAAGGCAGCCCAAAAGAAAATAGTGTTTTGGGTTGAATCACAGGTAAATCCGTTCAGGTGGTGATTAAAGCTGACGTCATTCAGTTCTACAAACTAAAGTTTGGCTAGATGAGCCCAGGGGCGGATTAAGGACTGAAGAAGATCCGGGGCTTAACACACACACACACACACACACACACACACACACACACACACACACACACACACACACACACACACACACACACACACACACACACACACACACACACACACACACACACACACACACACAGACACAGACACACTAGTCAACATCATATGTGTCTTGTACCACATCATTTTTAATCTGAAGCTACATATGAAGCATATTCAGGGCAGAGTATTGTTCCTGTTGGTGTTTAGTGTGAGATGATAGTAAATATTCCCTTTCTTTCTCCAACAACGTTACCTGATAGTAAGCTAACTTTAGGCAAACCAGCAGCACAACAAATATTTTCAAATAAGACTCACAAACCTGAGTCAGCACCAGTCTCATCAAAGCTGGGGTTCTGTCGCCGAACTTTTGGTCTAAAAAACGTCCTTATGTCCATCTTCACTCATGCGTTTCAGAGTGTAGGAGAAACCAGGCACTGCAGAAGAAGCCGGCTGCTGAGAGGCTTCTTCTTCAGTGGTGGAGGCTCAGGCAGGCTGTATACAAGCTACTGCTAGCTGCTCCCTCTCTGTTGGACTTTGGTACTGCATGTTACTTCCACGTTTGAGATCCGGGGCTTTTCATTAAAGATTCGGGGCTTGAGCCCAAGTAGCCGGGCCTAACGCCGCCCCTGGATGAGCCTCAGACCTTCTTTATCTCACAGCTGTTGCGCTGAAATGTTTGAAGTTTTCTGTGAGATCATCAACAACCGAAAAATAATCAAGAGCTGAGGACATTATCAGAAAAGTAACTTTGAGATACTCTAACATCATCCAGTGATATAAAGGAAGGGGGGAAAAAAACTAATTTGCTTTGACTTACAGCTGATTGTGTGTCCAGAGTTCAGACTCCAGACACCTGAGCTGTTGAATGGAGGCTAAAACTCATGAGTGTAAAAGTTGGCTAACCAAAGTGCTCGACTGGAATCACGACAGACCGTCTTACAAGACATATGAATGAGAACTGTGTGAGTTGTTTTGTAACATGGAGACACAACAACCAACATCATGAAGGAAACTTAGAGAGGTAGTGATGCTATAAAAGCAGAGAAGAGCAGCTAATGTGGCCTGGATGTCCAGAAGGCAAGTCGCTTAATTATGGAGCTAAGAAACAGAAACTTGCTGGTTTCTCCTTTGCTTTCTTTACCTTTTACTTGTGTTTTAATCTGATTTCTTAGTCTGAATGAAGGATACATAGGCAGTTGGAAAACTGATTACACCAAATTTGTTCTACTGCTTCACCGTGACATTTATGATCAGACTAAACGATCTTTCATTTTAGATCAGTCTTTACCTTTCTAGGAACCACAAACTCAGCTTGATGTCCAAATGAACAATAACCCATGAACTTGTTGCCCCTACTTTAATCTGCCACAAGTGCCTCCATTATAACTCTAGATGAAATTTCTCTTGAGGAGTTTTGGAAAGGTGGCTGAAGGGATTAAACCAGATTTAATCCTGCTGTGCCTTAAACCATCGTACCGAATCACTGACTGCTCTGGCAAACTAAACCAGCTGTAGAAATATCGTCAGTCATCTGGGAACAATATAGTTTATTGTGGTTTATTTTAAATCCTCATACTAAGCAAGCATGTAGCGACAGTGGAGAGGAAAACTCCTTTTTAACAGGAAGAAACTTCCAGAGGATCCTGGCTCAGTATAAGCAGCCATCCACCACGACTCAGTGGGGATCGAGAAGACAGAGCACGCACACGCACACACGCACACGCACACACACACACGTACCAATTAATGTTTCTATGGTTACATTGTGATTTCTTGAATTTCTTAAATTTTCTATTTAGTGAGAGATAAATTTTATTGTATTTATCCTAGTGAATCTATAATTAAACAGGTAAACTAGTAGTAGCACCTTCAAAGTCAAAGAAAGTAAAATGTTATTATTAGGAGAGGGAGAACGACTAAGTGGTTAACAGCAGTGTGCTAGATGATGGCCCCCTCCATGAGGCCACCACAGCTCAGCAGAACATCATTGTAGCTTCTTCTGGGGAGAAAAACACTTAGAGAGAAAATAAAGTTAACAGCTGAAATAGCAGGAAATAATACAGTTAATGAGCAAATTGTAAAAGAAAGTAGTCGAGTGTGGAAATATAAATCCAATATAGATCCAACCCTGCTTGTCGAAGTCCACTACCCAGTGTGTTTTACTTGTTTCTCTGCTCCAGACAGAGTTAGACACAGAGAGAGGTAGAGAGACAGACTGGATGAGAAAGAGAGAGAGAGACAGGTAGACAGAGTGAGAGACAGAGATTAAATGAGACAAAGAAAGTTTGATGCAAACGACGAGATAGACGAGGTGTAACTCTGACTGAGGCCAAACTGGGACCCACGGAGATGATGCTGGTCTGTGTCTTGCTTTGGTTGTACATGGACCAGACACCCCTCAAAGGTCACTCTTGCTGGATACTTTGGGGGACACTGTCCACAAAACACATGATCTGGATGACCAAATGTTATTGAATGTCTTCATTGTGCAACAACCTGAGCAGGCAGTCTCTTCAGGTGTGCAGTTTGTGCAGGTAGCACGGTGCATGTCTCCTGCAGCCTGTATGCTGTCGTCAGGGCAGTAATCCTAGTAAATATCTGCTGAATAGCTCTTATCTAGTCACGCTGTAGGCCCGTGCTACTGTGGATTAAGTCTACTGTTCTTTTTGTCTTTTGTTTTCTTTACAATCATCTGTCTCAGACGAGTCTTCTCTCCAGACCCAGTCATTACTCTTAAGGACTTTTTTAAAAACACAAACCCTGAAAATTCTTTCTGATTAAATTTCAGTATTTAATTTCCTTTGTTAATCTGCAACGTTGGATTAACCGGTTATAATTCATTTTTACTGCAAACGTCCCTCTTTGTCAAACCAGCAGAAAAAAACTAAAGCTCGAGTGTTTTGTGTCCAGATGAGCTCTAATTCCTGTTCTGGAGGAAATGATAACAGGGACGTCTTTGTTTATTTGAGTAAAAGCAAACGGAGCTTTCCTTAATGAAATCCAGGGTGGAGCAGTTTGCTCAGAGCTCACTTCTCACTTTGCCTTGGATCTGAACAGTGAGAGCTCTGTGTACAGGGAGTGTGCTGGCACTGCATGGTTTCCACACACACACACACACACACACACACACACACACACACACACACACACTCGTACTCATCTCTCATACTGAAGTGTGATGTGTCACCCTTGTTAAATTAGCTCCACTTTCACCAGGGCAATCATAAGTGTCTCTTGTTTTTACTCTAATCTTTTTTAGATTGTGTCCACAGAAGATTTCTGTCCATGTCTTATTGAGAGAGAAAAGTTATTCCTATAAATACTAAACTGTTTTGTACACAGCTGCTCATGTCACTGGTGCTGTACACACTTGCTAGACTGCACTGTGTTTGTTCTCATATCTGTAAAGATACCTAATGTTTGATGACATAATCTGTCCTGATCTTAACTATCTATCACAACCTGAATTGTCTGTGATTCGTGCTACTGGAAGCAGCTTCTGCACATTAAAACTCCGTTGAGGAAAGGGACTTTCAATAGAAATGACCAAGGTTCCTGTTTTCACAACATGGCTGTTGGTGGTTCTAGAACTGTATTTAGATCAGGAACCAAGGTTGTTTCATTTTGTCTTCTCTAATGTTTCACTAACTTTCTCCCTGTAAACCCTGCAAACACTCTTTCAGAATAAACAAGACTTTCATACACTACATTTGTTGCATGTGTGTGTGCGTGTGTGCATGCATGCAAGCCAGTGTGTGTGTCCCTCTGCAGAGATTAGTTTAAAAACGGACAAAGACCTACATAAACTCCATCGTGGATCAAAGAGATAAAACGAGTCCTCTGATTGGTTCAGATTTAAACCCAACAGACATACCTGCAGCTATTGATCCTCTTTCACACCTATCAGCGTTCCTGTAAAGTTCTACAAGTGGAGATACGAGGTTTTTGCCCAACAGCGATGAAATTAAAAATTACCATTCTCTACAATTTTCCCATGTTACAGCTAAATGTTTCTGATTAAAGGTTGAATATGAAACAATTAAATAAAAAGCTATATTTTTAACCCTTATATAACCCTTTAATTTTCTAACATTTTTGTCCTTTGGGCACAAAAAAAATGCACTAAGGTCGTATAAGGGTTAAAAATAATACCTCCAAACGGCATTTAGAGGTGTGCAGAATGAAGGTACGGTATTTCCTTTCAAAGCTATATTTTTATTTTTAAAAAAATTTACTTTGGTGGGCACAACACTGGGTTTATGTTTACATCCACCGGCCAGTAGAGGGCACCATTGTGGGTTGCCACACAGTCCACTCGGCACAGCGGGGCTGGCACTGTGGAAGATGGCGGACTCAGCAAGTCAAGCAGCTGCTTCCGACTCCAGAAGATGTCGGTATCCTCAGAAGAGGAGCGACCATAAAAGTTTAGGTGAAGCCTATAACAGATGGACCCAAATAAAAAATACACATATCGGCAGAAAACCAGACGGCTGGAAGCCTTGTTCTATTGTTGCAACGACAACCTCCACACACTAGATGTCGCTTTGGTGTTTGTGTTCCGTATTCCGTCCTGTAATATGTTTGGTATGTTTTTTTTAAAGCTTTCAGTAAAGAAAGCACAAACAATACATTTCTAAATATATAATAAATAAAAGTGCAGTTTAAATGCTTTATAACCTTTTAAAACACAAAAACATTCTTAGTGAAATTAAATCATATTTGATTACATTTCATTGTAGAAATACTGTTTGCTAAATGTATCAAATGTTTGTCCGTCTGGTTTTCAGGATCCGTCCTCAGCTGGCCAAAGAAAAGATCGAGGGTTGCCACATCTGCACGTACGTGATGCCTGGAGAGCCTCAGGTGGTGCTTGGTAAGGACAAGGCCTTCACCTTTGACTTTGTCTTCGACATGGACACTCAGCAGGACTCCATCTACACCCACTGCACCGAGAGGCTCATCGAGGGCTGCTTTGAGGGCTACAACGCCACCATCTTTGCATACGGGCAGGTTGGTAGCATGTCTGTCCACATCTTTTAACTTTGTTTTTGTTTTATATCAACAACCTGGCATTGCATGAATACTTCTCATGCATTCACATTAGGTGACGTCTTACTGCTCAAGGTGATGGAGCTGTTTCAGGAATCCTAATATTCTTGTTAATGTTTGATATGGAGTTGATGCCTGAGAGGCTCACCAGCTCTGCCGGCGTGTTCCAACCTGCTCTCAGCACCACGGCTCTGATAGAGACGCAGAAGGGAGTTTGCTACTCCTTCAGGAAAGTGAGAACAACCTCACCTCATACCAGAGTGCAGAAGTAAACCATGTAGTGACAAGAGACTTGAAACGGCTGCTGCTTCTATCTTGTTTGGCTCTGTTAGTGGACTTGCAGAACATCCATGTTCCAGTATAAAAAACGTGCATGCATGTAGTATTCACAACTTTGCTTTGCACCTATTGAATCACCTCTGGCAGCAGTATGATGCTCAGCACATGGATGTTTCTCTGGTCTTTGTAGAGCCTCTCAAGCTCCACCAAGGTAGATGTGGAGCCATTTTTTTCTCCAGAGATGTTCAATCAGGTTCAAGTCTGGCTTCTGGCCGAAGTCACTCCTTTGTTATCTCGGCTGTGTCCTTTTGGGTTGTTGTTTTGTTTGTTTAAGGATGAACCTTCACCCCATCAGGTCCAGACTGAGCAGGTTATCAAGTATGTTTATGCACATTGCTGCCGTCAACATTCCCCCAGTTCTTACTCCCAGTTCCTGTATCCCTGCAGCAGGATGCTGCCTCCACCATGAGCAGTGCCTGGTTCCCTGCACATATGATGCTTCAGGCCAAAGAGTTCAGTCTTTGTTTCATCAGACCAGAGAGCTTCTCTTATAATCTGAGAGTCATTGAGGTGCCTTTTGGTAAACTCCAGGGCTTCCACATCACCAAACAGGCCTGGAGCTTCTCCTCCAGCTTCATGGTCACCTTCCTGACTAAGACCCTTCTACCCAGATCTCTCCAACTGGCTCTAGGAGTCCTGGTGGTTCCAGACCTCTTCTGTTTAGATAAAATGGACACCGCTGTAGTTATTGGAGCCTTCTGTTCTGCAGAGGTGTGTGTTATGGCTGCAGAGAATTAATTAGACTTCATGGCTTTGTTTGTGTTCTATAACTATGGTAACCGTGGACAAACCCTATGTCTCTTTCATCTAGTGAGAAAAACAAAACATTTTTTTTGTTAAACTTCCTTTTCCAAACATATGTTACCTTATTTTGAAGGCCTACACCACTATTGTAGTTTACTGTTTAAGGGAACAAACAGCAGACGGAGTGACGGGATCTCTGAGTTATGACACTACGATGACAGACGTCAGCACAGTTTCAGCCAAAGTCTCTTGGAGATGTTTTGATGATGTGACATCCGTCAAGTCTTCTGTTTTTCTTTACTGGTTGATTTGTTTTGCTACATTTTTATTCAAATGAGCATTAAACAGAAATGATTATGCACCAGAAGAAACAAAACCAGGTTTAAAAAAATCGTTTTCTTGAGAATCTGCGACTTGTTTTTTCTGTCTGCTTCTCCAATGTTTCTCCAATCTTTAACTGGAGAGCAACATAGAAGGTGGCTGGGGTGCATTTTTATTGAACCCATCTTTAAAAGGAAACAACAACCTTTTTCTAGTTGAACATCTCCTCCTCTTCACCTCCTCATGCACTCCTCTTCTCTCTGTTCGTTATTCTTTCACACTGATTCCTGTCACACAGCCTTTCACAGGTCACGGCGGAGACATCCACACAAAACGTCTTAGGTGTGGTCTTCTAGATTCAAACACAAATGTACCGTCTTCTACCACACATGCACACTCTTCCTGCCAGGGGGTTGCATTCCTCATTTTGTCGCCATGGTGATCCTCTGACCACAGAACCCCTAACTCTTCCTTTAAAAGGCCTGAGCAGCTCCTGTCAAGAAAAGAAGGGGGCTTTGGAGAATTGTGAGAAAGAAACACTAAAATGTCTCTTGGTTCGTCTCCAGACAGGTTCAGGGAAGACTTACACTATGGGAACCGGCTTTGACGTCAACATCGGGGAGGAAGAGCTGGGAATCATTCCTCGAGCTGTCAACCACCTGTTCAGAGGGATCGAGGAGCGTAGGCAGGCCGCTACCGAGCAGGGCAGGCCCATTCCTGAGTTCAAGATCAACGCACAGTTTCTGGAGGTACACACACACACACGCACGCACGCACGCACGCACGCACGCACGCACACACACACACACACACACAGAGGCAGATCAAAGTGACTCTGCTTAACTGGATTTAAATTAAACCAATTTCACGGCACATTTTTTACTTTAAACCCGGGAGGTGAGACCACTTATGGTCCATTAGTTAGACATGGTGAGAACATGCTGACAGCTAAAGGTCAAAGGTCTCATGACGGTGCCCCGCTCCCATTAAACATCATCAGTTAGAATTTTAACCCAACAGGTGGCGAGGAAGCAGCTGAGTGGAGAGGAAATGGTAAATGACAGAACCATTTTTTTTTCTTCTGTTTTTGATTCCTACAGCTGTACAATGAGGAGGTGTTGGACTTGTTTGACACGACTCGGGACCTGGAGGCCAGGAGGCAGAAGTCAAACATCAAAATCCACGAGGATGCCAATGGGGGCATCTACACGGTGGGGGTCACCACCCGCACCGTCAGCTCTGCTGTTGAGGTCAGCTCTTACCATCAAAATCACAGCTTTACTCTGAAAATCTGGAGCTTTCAGCGCAGCGGTGGAAACAAAATCTCTCCTTTTGCTTCCTAGAGCTGAAGTAGATTTTAATTTGAACTCTTTATGTGTCTGTTACGCCCTCCATCTTTTCCTGTGTGTAATGAAACCTGCGATTGTGATGAGAGAATACACACTCTGTCGTCAACAGTCCGTCCCATCCGTGTCTCCTCTAATAGATGATGCAATGTCTGAAGCTCGGCGCTCTGTCTCGCACCACAGCCAGCACTCAAATGAACGTCCAGAGTTCACGCTCGCACGCCATTTTCACCATCCACCTCTGCCAAGTCCGAGTCTGCTCCGCTGATAACAACGTAGGTCCCACTGGAGAAAGTCTTTACCAGGAACTACCAACAAGTGTTTAAAATGTGTTGTGTTTTCTCATCAAGGATAATATGACGGATAACCGCCTGGTGGCTGATTCAGAGATTAATGAGTTTGAGACGTTGACGGCTAAGTTCCACTTTGTGGACCTGGCTGGTTCTGAACGACTGAAGAGAACAGGAGCTACAGGAGACCGAGCTAAAGAGGGCATCTCCATCAACTGTGGACTGGTGAAGACTTTTAAAACGCCTTCATGACACTCTTTTTCATGAAGCAGAGGAATTTGTTTAATTTCTTCAGTAAAGCATTAGTGACTCCTGGTGGCCTTATTGGGAAATACATAGTTTCATGTTTTCGGAGAACTTCTGTGACTTTTTTTGTTTTAGTTTTCTGCATCAGAGGCTTGACTGTTTTATTTTTATTTTTATTTACCTCAGCTGGCCCTGGGAAATGTCATCAGTGCCCTGGGGGACAGGAGTAAGCGCTCCACACACGTGCCCTACAGGGACTCCAAACTCACCCGGCTGTTACAGGACTCGCTGGGTGGCAACAGGTCTGTGGGGCTGACTCGTACAGAGACAAACACGCTGAGAAAGTGGATGACTGAAGTTGTTCTAGTGTACAGAAGACCGTAGCTGGTTATTTAAACAGTTGGTAAAGTTATTAGTTCAGGTATTACTGTCAGGAAAAAGAAAATAGTTCTTTTTTTTTTTTTTTACGGAAAGTAACTCTCAAAAGCAAAGTCTTACAAACTGTTTGATTATGATTTATTACAGTCAAATAAAGTTTAAATCCTGTCAATTTTTGTGTTGCTCGTGTGTCCCGCCTTTAGTCAAACCATGATGATCGCCTGCATCAGCCCGTCGGACCGGGACTTCATGGAGACCCTGAACACCCTGAAGTATGCCAACCGGGCCCGAAACATCAAGAACAAGGTGATGGTGAACCAGGACAGAGCCAGTCAGCAGATCAGCGCCCTGAGGACGGAGATAGCTCGGCTGCAGATGGAGCTGATGGAGTACAGGACGGTGAGAGGGAGCGAGTTCTCCCACACGTGGAGCAAAAGCTATTTCATTTAGGCTAAATCTAGTCTGTGACTGTCAGGGCAAACGCGTGGTTGGTGAAGATGGCGTAGAGGGCATCAACGACCTGGTCCATGAGAACTCGATGTTACAGACTGAGAACAACAACCTGAGGGTGAGGGTGAAGGCCATGCAGGAGACCATCGATGCCCAGAGGAGCAGACTGACGCAGGTCCTCAGTGACCAGGCCAACCAGGCTCTAGCTAAAGCTGGTGGGTCTGCTCAGTCTGGGGTTTGTTCCTGAATGCATCTCAGTGGTTTTAAATCCAAAGCTGTTCTTCTTCTTGTAGGTGAAAGCGGTGAAGAGATTGGGAACATGATTCAGAACTACATCAAAGAAATCGAAGAGCTCAGGTGACGTTGCAGTCTTTGCATTTAAAAATACATTTCTTGCTAATTCAGTTCTTGATTTTATACATAAAGTAGAAGAAAAGGAATCCGTCAGAGCAGCATGGAGGAAAATAAATGTTGTTGTCTTCTTGCATTTTGTCAGAGCTAAGCTTTTTGAGAGCGAGGCTGTGAATGAGAACTTGAGGAAGAACCTGTCCCGGGCCTCTACTCGCTCCTCGCTGTACGGTGGCCCCGCCTCCTCAGCCATTTTCACTCCTGAGAAGGAGGCCAGCGACGTCATCGAGATGGCCAAGAAAAACCTGGAGAAGCTCAAGAGGATGGAGAAGAAGAAGAAGAGGAGGTGGAGAGCTTGATTTTTTTATTTATTTATGTGAATGAGAACCATGTCTGCCACCACCAGGGACCGTTTGACAGGAGAGCTTTTACATCACATTACCGTTTTCTATGGGAGTCTGACGTGGTCTCTCTCACTGCCCTGTCTTATCCCTCTATCCCTCTGCTGCTCTATAACTTCCTGTTCTCATCCTAAACTCTGTCTGCTCCATCAACTCCTGCCCCCCCACAACATCCCCGTCCTTATCTGAAGACTGAGGCGATTTGAGGAGGATCAGGACCACAGTGCTGAGCCCTGCAGGTTTGCAGCCTCCCATCCAGAAAAGACAGAATCCTATTCCGGATAGGATTTCTGCTATTAGATTAATGACCCAGATCTTCTTCTTTGAGTTCCCTAAATGAACTGATACTAACCCGTTCTGCACTTGCAGGTTATTTTCTCTCCTGAAATGAAGCAGATTTCTTCTATCCCTCTAATCCAGCTGTTTGTCATGTTTAGTGCACACTGAGAGATCAGCTCTTTTTTTTTAAGTTAAAAACTGAAATTTAACAGTTTAAGTACCCGAACAACATATATGTGCAGTGTGTTGCAGCTTTTCTGTCAGTGAATCATTTAAAAACGGTAGTATTAACTGTCAATCATCATTTTTTTCCCTCTCTATCTCCAATTACACGGCATTTTCAGTGAAATTGTTCATTAATCCACACTGATCTCACATCTGCTCCTAATTTGATGAGGTCCAATCATTTGCATGCACTCCCAGCCCTCTGCCTCAATCTGAACTAAAAGTTCCCACTCTTGTTTTGGTAGCTAAACTTTTCTTTTCCTTATTTAGTGTAATCAAAGAGGAAGTCCCCGACAACGATCAGGAACGAGGCAGCGAGGAGGCCGAAGGGGTAAGTGGACGCGTTTGTGCCAAACGGTGCAAACACTTGCAGCAAAGCTTTTAAAACAGCGGTTTTTCATATTGAATCTGTTTAAATAATTTTCTTGAACATTCACTCATTTGAACACACACAGTTGTCCACATTTTAAATAAGGACTTGCTTTTATTTACTCTCTCCTTCGACAGAGGGGTGACTTTGTTCTTCATCCATTAAGACCTGCAGCTCACTTTGAGAAAGCAGTTTTTTAGTGGCCCTTTTCAGTCAGTGTAATCTGACGTTGGCTGATTACACTGACCTGCTACACTTCATGTGGGTGTTAGACATACGATTAGTGATGTTTTTGTGTGAGAACAACCAAATAGCAGGAGGAATAAAGCACAGCTAACAAAATTCACCTGTGGGTTTTAGTAGCGTTTTTCCCAGTGGTTTATGAAAAAACTGCTTCCATTAAAAGCTTTATACCCCACCTTTTTGGTTGTGATAAAAAAAAATAAAAACATTTCTTTGATGAAATATGGTAAAAGGTTTTTTACAAGGATCGAAAGGACACTGACCCCCAAATTCCACTACCTCCGCTCCGCTTCCGCAGCCGCTCGCTTCCGAACTCAATTTTAACTGGTACCCGCTCTACAATGGCTCCGCTCCGGTGCGGAGACCTGAGGGGGGCAAACAAGCATGCGCGGGATTTTCGAGATCTTGCGATACAGTCCGAGCAATAAACGCGGAAGTTAGATCCAAACACCCGTTGTGTGGGAGAAGCATCGAAATGAACTGTTTAATCTGCCCATCATTTGTGTTGAGAGATCAGCAGTGTTTGGATCAACAAAGTGTGACTACTTTGATAGTGGAAACTGTATTTATGGCTTACTTTTGTGCATTTAAACTTCAGCCACCATTGATAGTTGTTAAAAGTTGTTAAACCTGCGCATATGAAACAAAAAATGCCTTTTGTTTATCGATTTATTGTGAAATAACGGAAGCTGTGTCTGCTCCCTTTCCTGTTGGGCGGTTGTGATTTCTGTCCATTGACTGCGGAGGTGCTCCGGCGTCCGGCAAAAATAGGATCGATTCTATTTTTGCCGGACGCCGGAACAGAGGGCGGCGCACTGCGCCGCACTGCCACAGCACGGCCGCAGTAGTGGAATTGCTCTGATTGACTACAACGGGACCGATTTTGCTGCGGAGGTAGTGGAATTTGGGGGTTATTGTGCCATGAGTAATAATAAAAAAAAAATTCTTCTAGGCACGGGATATTAGTAAGAGAAATTTGAATAAATCTCTTTTACCTGCCAACAGTTTCAGCTTCTCGGCTGAATCCATCTTCATGGGTTGTTATCAGGTGGATTGCTGACGTGGCCTATATTAGTCCCTGTGGGGCATCTCCACACGCCACTCCCACGTGACACGCTCCGGGAATACCGGGTATAGGCCACGTCAGCAATCCACCTGATAACAGTCCATGAAGAAGGCTTCAGCCGAGAAGCCTAAACTGTTGGCAGGTAAAAGATATTTATTCAGATTTCTCTTGCTAATATACCATGCCTACTAGAAGAAACATTCTTACTAATTTGTTACAAGGACTCGACTGAAAATAAGTCCTGAAAGAAGAAAACATGTAAAGTTAACCCAAGAGCATAAGTCTGACTCTGCAGCTGTGTCTCAACGATTATTTTTGCTTCATATATTTGCTTGTGGGATAATTGTTTTAAAAGGCAACACAAGGTAATTTGGTAGTTTGCTGTTAACTCAAACTTCAGGTTATCGTCTGTGTAGTCTGATTTGCCTTCTTCTGTATTTGTTTATTGTTTGTTAATCCTGAAGTATTTGCTTCCAGGAGGGCAGCGGCCACGAAGATGCTGAAGATGCAGACGGAGAAGATGAGGACTTTGACCTGGAAGCAGAAGATACATCTGACGAGTCAGACTCAGAAGAACTGGATGAGAAAGGTATACGTGTGACAAAAATAATTAATCTGTTTGTCAAACTTCATCTTTTTTCTGGAGGGTTTAAAAGTGAGCTTAAAGTCAGAGCTGTCCGATGTGTTTGTGTGCAGAGAACGTCCAGGCCGACCTGGCCAACATCACCTGTGAGATCGCCATCAAGCAAAAGCTGATCGACGAGCTGGAGAACAGCCAGCGGCGCCTTCACACGCTCAAACAGCAGTACGAGCAGAAGTTGATGATGCTGCAGAACAAGATCAGAGACACGCAGCTGGAGAGGGACAAAGTTCTGCACAATATGGGTACACAGCAGTCACAGGTTCATGACAATCAGCTGTCTTCTACATTGCCGTGCTAATTATTTCTCTCGTGGTCCAGGGTCAGTGGGGTCAGGTACAGAAGAGAAGGCCAAGAAGATCAAGGTGGAGTATGAGAAAAAACTGAACTCCATGAATAAAGAGTTGCTGAAGCTTCAGTCGGCTCAGAAGGAGCACGCTCGCCTCCTGAAGAACCAATCGCAGTATGAGAAACAGCTCAAGAAACTCCAGCAGGATGTGACAGAGATGAAGAAGACCAAAGTAAACTACTTTGTCATTTTTGAAAGGCGGATGAGCCTTTGACATTCAGGGATTAATGCTGTTGTTCTGCTTTTGCCCACCAGGTGGCACTCATGCGTCAGATGAAGGATCAACAGGAGAGGAACAGAATCTCTGAGAGCAGGAGGAACAGAGAGATCGCCTCTCTGAAGAAGGAACAACGCAGAGCAGAGGTTCAAAGTTCATCACAACTATGACTTTAACATTTTTAGAGTTAACTTTTTAAAAGTGACCTCCTTTATGCTTCCATCAGCACCAACTCCGGCAACTGGAGGCCCACAAGAGACAACAGGAGCTGATCCTTCGCAGAAAGAACGAAGAAGTTAATGCGACTCTTATTCAGGAAAGACAAAGAAAAGTGTGTTTGAATCTGTTTTATTAACATATGTTGCTTTGAGCAGGTGACGGCTCTGAGGCGACAGGTGAGGCCCACGTCTGGGAAGGTGAGCAGGAAGGTGAGCTCACCTGATCCTGCACAGGAACCCTCACAAAGAGGAAACCCTGTTAGGATGATGTCATCAGGTCCGAGTGCTTCCAATGGAACCAGGTAGGTCCTCTGAACTGTTAGACACACACACACACACACACACACACACACACACACACACACACACACACACACACACACACACACACACACTCACTCACTCACTCACTCACTCACTCACTCACTCACTCACTCACTCACTCACTCACTCACTCACACACACACACACACACACACACACACACACACACACACACACACACACACACACACACACACACACACACACACACACTTTCAAGAAACCTGATTTCCTCTCCAGGAGTTCCCTACAGATAAGAAGTGTGTACCACACCAGGACAGCTCGGGCTAAATGGCAGTCATTAGAGAGGCGTGTCAGTGACATCATCATGCAGAGGATGACCATCACCAACATGGAGACAGACATGAACAGACTGCTGAAGGTAACACATTGGTGTTTGATCCGAGGTGTACCATTTCTCTTTACTTCTCCTCTTTATTTCATTTACCAGCAACGAGAGGAGCTGACCAGACGGAAGGAGCGCTTGTCCAGGAAGAGAGAGAAGATGGCGGTGGACGGCATGGACACCGACCGATCTCTAGTGTCACTGAACGAGGAGCTGGAGTCTCTGAGCGCCAACATCGACTACATCAATGACAGCATCGCCGAGTGCCAGGCCAACATCATGCAGATGGAGGAGGCAAAGGTGACAGAATGTCACATTTCTCTTTATTTCCTGTTGAAAACACTCAAATAACATCACATCAACTTATTGATGTTAATCTGCTCATTTACATTGTAGAGGAGATTGTTGATCAGTTTCAGCTGCTTTGAGATCTATCTGAGTCATGTCTCAGTCTTGCCAATGCTGCCAGGTTGCTCCTCCAGCTCTGGGGGGAGAAGTCCAAGGACACCACCCCAGTCTGATTACGAGCAGGCATGTGGAAGCCCTACCAAGAACTGAGCACCATTCTTAGTTGATGCAATGAAATTTCAGCAGAGTGGATCAGCTTGCCTCATCATTTGTGCATGCTGCTCATTTGTTCCTGACCCTTATTAGCCTCCAGCAGTTTGTTTTCCTGAGGTCCGACCTGTTCTCGCATCGTTCCTGTAACAGTCTTTGTCTCTGATCATCAGTAGGCCGTCTCTGACATTAAACCCTACAGTTCTGCATCACCAGTCTCGTTTCTTACTTTGCTCCTAATTTGTCAGAAGAACAAAGTTAGAATTCCATCAATGAAGCCCAAGCAGGACGGCGTAACAATGCTTTCATTGACCAATAGCTTCTGCCTGAGCTCATATTTATATGTTTAATTCACTAAGTCTTCCATAAATCTTCCTAAATTACTTTAGTGAATAATTATAATTTGTATGCAGTGCTGCTTGTGTGTGTGATGTGTTTGTCAGCCTGCCTGGCGTCGTTAATCCTTATGCTGCCGCCGATGGGACTAAACCGTCCAATCCAGGATTAACTCCTAGACTCAATTAGAACGGTGTTTGATTTTCATTTTGTCATAAGTGTAATAATAATACGGGGCTTAAAGTGTTTAGCATCCGTGTTTTTAGATTTCATTCATCAAGTAATTACAAACATTTCATAACTTTCAGAGGTTTTTTTTAAAGAAGTGAAGTTACTGTAAGTTTATTCAGAGAGCTGATGGCATGGAGGAGTTCCTCAGGGAGGATGATCAGAGACCCTTCTTTATCTGTGGGTATGTTCTAAAGCTAAACTCATGGATGAGAGGCAACCTGACTTGTAAATGGTTTGAAGATGCTTTATATTAAACCGGACTGAATCACCTTTTCTTCTTCCAACAATCATTTGATCCAAACAATCAGAAAGAAAACTGGTCAGAGAAAATGTGTGGACCCGTTACAGATTATTTTTGTATTCTCGACACCCGACCAGCTTCCAAAAGCTTTCATCTTTTTTAAAGAGAAAGCCCTGCTGCTGTGCCATCTTCACCAGACATTGCTGATGTTTCACTGAAGTCCGATTTTATCTGATGCTGTTTATTTGTCATCTGAGTTTCTAAGTGAATCCACACCAACATGAGTCAGCAGATTGTTAAAAATTAGCTATGATCTTTCAGTTTAAAGCTTCAAGTCCAACTTTCTTAGACTTATTTTTCTTGTTGAAACATCTCAGAGTAGGTGCATAAACATTATCGGACATTATCTGACTCATAATTAATCTTTGCATCATGATTTGGCAGCATCTGTCATGTAACACTTGTACAATAAGCTATATGGCATGTTTATGTGTGGAATTATGTTTAGAGCATATAGATTTTAAACGGGAGATCTGATGACCAGATGAGGGTTTATATTAGCAGCAATAGAAAAGTGGAGCTGCAGCACCTGGTGGTGGATGGAAGATTAACTTAAAATAGGCAGTGATTTGTTTTGTGTTTGCTAAAACAAAAAGACATGAAAAGCAGCAAAACATTTAAAAAACAATTTTCTTTCTGTTTATGTCCAAGCTAATGTAAACGTTGCAGTGCTGTGAAGCAAATACTCAGGGGATTCTGGGTTTTTGCAGGTTTTTGTTACGTTTTAATTCTATCTACAGTTTGTAACATTAGATATCTGTTTATATATTGTAAACGTTTGATTACATGGTGTATTCGGATATGATTCTCAGATGGAGTCTCCTACTGTGCTCTTGAGCTGATTTTTTCTTCTGGGTCGCAGGAGGAAGGAGACACGGTGGACGTTACTGCTGTCATCAGCTCTTGTAACTTATCAGAAGCGCGTTTCCTTCTGGACAGTTTCATGACCATGGCCATCAGTAAGGTACCTACTTCCCACCTACTTCCCTGTCTTTTCACATCCTTACACGCTGTCAACATGTCGAGTTAGGCCTCTGAATTAGTCAAGTGGTTTCTCACAGAAAAATACATAAAAATTACACCAATTTTACCCATATTTTGTATGTGTTCCTCTAAAAATAGATTATATTCAATAAAAATGAGACAAAAATGTCAGAAAATTTCTGATTTATGGCCCAGCAATCTGTCTAACTAAGGTAAGACTGCATCAGCCCAAACTAATGTTTGAATGCTTTAGCAATCAGGATGAAACATATTTGGTCAAATAGGTGACCAACAAGGATTGAGTTTTATTTTCTAGGGATGAACCAGGAAACAACCATCTGTTTGGGCTAGAAAATGTCTGAGTGAAGTTTCACCAACATCAACCAAACTGTACGTGGACATTTTTCCAATTATGAGGGGGGAAAAATCACTAACCCTTTAAACTTGAAACTGTGTGTACATGGCTTTTATTCAACCCATGTAGTCTAGCACAGTGGTGGCAGCATCATCATAAGGGAGTGTTTGTCTGTGATGGAAGGGGTGTTAAAGAATGCTGAAAAAGCTTGAGATCATCATTACTACCAAAGATTCTTTAATAAAATAGTAAGGCCCATTTTCACAGAACAGAAACCATTAGCTAGGCTAGGCTACGCTAGGTCCCTCAACTGTCTCCAAAACGTTGGTGTAGATTCTCAGTCATCCAGGGTGTAATCCACTTGTACTAGCTAACTTATCTTCAAGATCACCAAAACGTTGTTCGTACAGAAACACTTTAGAGTTCCTTTGCATTTGTTGAGGGACTAAATGTTAAATTTTACACCTTTTTCATGGAGATCTGCAGAAGCTTCTGTGCTATGACAGCATTAAAAACCATTTGGCAACACTTTACAATAAGGGTCCCTTCATTAATGTTATTTAGTGCAATATTAGGCATTGATAAACTATTAAAACAGTATTAACAACTGCTTAATATTAATGTTTGTATTAAGTAATGAATTACTAAACAGAGACTTCCCCCCCCCAGCCCTTTGTCCTAACCTTAAGGACAATTAACAGTTAACAATATTGGACACGTTAATAAAGGGACCCTTAATAATACACTAATGTTAATAAATGGACCCGTTGTTTACTAATGCTTAATAATTCTCGACATATTATTTGCCGTGCCTGCAACCATCCTCCTGGCATGCTTGGCCAACACAGATCATTCCCATATGATACCAGCTTTTTAAAACTGTTGTTATTCTTTGGCCTCTGTTTGGTTGTTGTGGTTGATGTTGGCCTTGCCTCCTTTGCAGACATGCACATGAAATAATAAAATTCAAAGACACTTTAATCGGATTACTTTGTTTGAATCAAGTCTCTGCGGAGATCAGACTAGGTTAGCTAAGATATAATTGTTCTAATAAATGGATGCTCCAAAGAAGACGAATACTAAAAATAAATCCTTGGAACATCATGCTGATACACAGAGGTCTTATTGTATGTACACGTCCATGTTTCAAATCCATGGATAAGCCAATAAAACACCCACCATGTTGTCTGTCAGGGTCTGCAAGCGGCTCAGAAAGATTCCCAGCTGAAGGTGATGGAGGGCCAGTTGAAGCAGACAGAGATTAACAACGCTACCCAGAACCAGCTGCTCTTCCACATGCTGAAGGAGAAGGCTGAGATCAACCCAGAGCTGGACGCCCTGCTGGGCAGCGCCCTGCAAGGTGGGGAAACCCGCAGGGGGATCGATGACTGTCTGAGCATGCTCAATCACTTATCCAATCGTCTCTTAATTCACAGAATGGCTCTGCTTTAGTTTACAGGCTGATTGTTCCACATCTGATATCTGGCCTTTCTCCCAAAACAATATTCAGAAAAGAAAATCTGCTTGCAAATGAAAGTGTAGCCACCGTCTCATCTGTGGGTTTGATTTTGATTTGATTTCTGTTTTGTGTGTGTGTGTGTTGGTGTAAATTCAGAGTTAGGGTACCTGACAGCAGGTGAGTAACAGATGTGACCGTGTTTGAAAGAGTGGGTCAACACATGCACGCTACATGATTTCCATCTAGCATGTTTATTTTATGAAATATACATGAATAAGCTTAACAGGCTTTAAGAAAAATTAAATAGAATGAGAAGAGAAGAAAACTATCTGTTATTGAGTAATCTTACCGTTCAGCGAGTTTCAGCTTTGACATTTTTATTCTCATAAAGAAACCTGGAATTTTAGCCAATGTTTTATATATAACATATATTTAAAATGTTTTTCTAAAGCAGAAAAAGGATAAATTTTCTGCACATATCTTAGAAATTCTAAAACGTTTAAAATCTTGTAATGTGCATCACTGTTCGACTACCCAAGTCAGATTAATCCGCCATAAAGTGCACGATGTATCCCACCCAGCCATGTGGGTGACCACTAAAACCGCAGTAAAAACGTGTTTGTGTTCGCTTTTGTGTTTGAATCATCCTTCATCTCGTAATCCTCCGTTCATCCCACCCCAGATCAACTCCTTTTGCCTAAAGCTAGTTTGTGAACTCTGAGCCTGAACCTGACATCACTGTTGTGATGTTGAGCTTTCTGAATGGATGCTGCCCTTTTTATAAACACAAAAATTAACATTATGTTAAGGTAAACCACCTGAATGATTCATCAGATGTTTACTGGTGTGTATTTTTCTGTATGTTCCGTGTTTTTTTTTTTGTTTTTTTTTCTGGTGCAGAAAACGGAGAAGACAGCAGTAGTGATGAGTCTACCCCGAGTCCAGCTACCGATGGCAGGTAGGTACTATATAGGCCTGGGCGATAAATCGATTTAATGAATGAATTTGAAATTTTTGTTGCGGGCGATTTTTAAAAAGTAAATAGAATTTTTATGTAATAGTGCCTTTAATAACGTCTCTTAAATTGTAAAAGACCCCCACAGAGGATCAGAATAAATGTGTGTGTGACCAAATCCTCCTTCTGTTTCAGTGCTCTGTCGTCAGATTTAATGAAGTTATGTGGTGAATCCAAAACCAAAAGCAAGGTATTGTTTACAGAAAACAGTTCTTTTTTTGTATTTTTCTATTTTGCACAGTTTTAAGTTCAGCCGTTGCTATTTTTGGAATTAAAAAACAGTCTGTGTCGGCTTCAAGAACTTGTGAATCCAGTTAATAATGTCCCACACTGTTGGGGTCTCTCAGGCTCGAAGGCGGACCACCACCCAGATGGAGCTGCTTTATGCCAGCAGTGGGGATTTGTCCTGCGACTCCCCCATCGGAGACTTCCCAGCACCTCTGCTGCCACTCAGCGAGCGCCCGGAAGGGCCGGCAGACACGCAGGGTCAGTCAGCTGACCGGGAGCAAACTGCCTCCCCATCTGCACTGTCTGCCCGGCCAGCTGGGATGTAAGTGGCAATGGCAACGCTTCTCTGGTCTAGACAAAAATATCAAGAAAACCACTGAGAGATGACGAAACCCGGCCTTGGTTTTAAAGGTTGCATGTTTAACTGGATGCTTTTGATGCCGGTAGGTCTGGATCCAGGTCACCTACAGGCATAGAGAGGAAACCGCTGGAACACTCTCCACTCAACCGCAGGAGGATGCAAGAGAGAGGACCCACAGCATCTCAGATCCCAGCACCAGCACAGACCCTCCTAGTAGGAACACCAGAAACCAAAACCAAAGGCTCCGACTACAAATCGCTGTGAGTTAGGAGTATGGCTATCATAAATGCAGATTTAGGATGGGTTCTTTTTGGGAAAGCAGCTCAAGTAAAAAAAAGAAAACTCAAGAATAATACCATGCCATAATGTATAATTTCATTTACCAGCTCATACGGGATTGTCAAGATTAAAGTCCCGTTTGTCACATGCACTGGTGTGGTGTGGTGAAAATTGTCCTCCACATTTGACCCATCCTTGTGAGGAGCGGTGAGCTGCAGCCGTGGCCCTGCTCGGGATCTACTTGGTAGTTTAACCCCCCAATCCAACCTCATGCGTCAAGCAGGGAGGCATTGGGTCCCATTTTTATAAAGGCTTTGGGATTTGAACTCCGATCTCCCAGTCCCACTAGGCCACTGAGCTGGTTGCATATAGGCATGTCCAAAGTGCAGCCCAGGGGCCATTTGTGCCCCTAGACTGCTTTTGTCATTAATTCTGTCTGTTAATGTAAACCTACACCTTCTAACATCTTTATGATCAGATGTTTTACTAAAATGATATTTTACCTATACTAAAAAGGACCAATCAATGAAATAATTGTTTTGTTTGTTGACTTAAAAGAAAATCACATTTTTATGGCCTGAGAGAAACAATAGCAATTTTGGCCTTGGTCTTGAACACTTTGGACATCCCTGCTGTATAATGTTTGGTACTGTGATGTGTGATGCTAAGCCTCATCAAATAGTAAAATAATATTAATATTTTATCTCTGCATGGTGGCGAGGGCAGAATAATGTTTAATCATGGCCACATTTAATTTATTGTTGAGCCTCATTTCAGCCTTTAGCAAAAGGTGGGGATTCTTGTTTGATCTTTTTTTTAATCATGTATTTCAAACAAGATTAAATAATACATTGAATTCACATTGATTAGAGTTTAAAATGCCTGGTTGTCAATCCAGCTGTTTACTATAAATATGCTGTACCATTATGTTCATTTTCTCAGGTTGGAGGAATCACCTGTTTTTGAAGGACACAGGTAATCTGCATCATTTTTATTCAGTTTTAACCAAATTAGTCTATTAGACGTTTCAGAAGATACAAAATAAAAATGAGGTACATTTGGTTGTCATAATAGTCACCAAATACTCCGATTCATATTGTTTTATCAGCTAATATTTCATTAAATTCTTAAACAAGTGAATGACCACATGTATTTTTGCTGCTTGTCTTTCAGAGGTGTGATCAATCCTGTAGCAGCCACTAGGAACAATCGGGGAGCCAGAATTCAGTGTGTCCACGTAGCAGAAGGACACACCAAACCAGTTCTCTGTGTAGACGCCACAGATGACCTGCTTTTTACTGGTTCTAAAGGTAAAGTGTTTCATTATGTCTCTGTCCATATAGAAATGATTCACTGTTTTGGTCAAACACAAGTCTTTGCCTCAGATCGTACATGTAAGGTGTGGAACTTGGTGACGGGACAGGAGATTATGTCTCTGGCTGATCATCCGAGCAGCGTCGTCTCAGTCAGGTACTGTGGCGTTTGTTTACAAACGGGAGTATTTAGCAATAAAATGTCAATTAGAGGGTTTCATTTTTATTAATTATGCCACTGTTTGTATATTTTAGATATACGTCCAGTCTTGTTTTCACTGTTTCCACTTCATACATCAAAGTCTGGGACATACGAGACTCTGCCAAGTGTATACGCACGCTCACGTAAGTACATATACAGAGTAGCAGGGAGTAGGGAAGCACCAGTACTCCTACCACGATCAGGTACATGAAATATGTGTAAAAAGCGAAGGTGTTGCAGTAGCTTTACACACATAGGGCAGCAGTAGCTCAGTTGTCCAGGAATTGGAGGGTTGTAGGTTCGATCCTGGCTCCCTCCAGAGAATGCTGCTGTTGTGTCTTTGGGCAAGACACTTAACCTGCCTTGCCTGCTGCTGGTGGTGGTGGTGGTGGGACCATGGTGCCAGTTCTCTGCAGCCTCACCTCCGTCAGTAGGCCCCAGGGCAGCTGTGTCTACATTGTACCTTATCACCAGTGTGTGTGTGTGTGTGTGTGTGTGTGTGTGTGTGTGTGTGTGTGTGTGTGTGTGTGTGTGTGTGTGTGTGTGTGTGTGTGTGTGTGTGTGTGTGTGTGTGTGTGTGTGTGTGACTGATTGTGTTGTGAAGTGGCTTGGGGGTTGTGGAACCCTAATAAGGTGCTATACAAATACAGGTCATTTACCACTGTGCAAACACTCATCAGTACTGCTCATGTACACATCTGTTGGTCCAAACTTATGGCTCCTAAAGAGGTGGCACGTTTCTTTTAGTCATGTGTTGCTAGCAGCTAGTGATGGCAAGATGAAACCTTGATTCGAGGCACCGTGATGGTAAAATGGCTTGTATTTGATATAGCGCCTTCTAGAGTCCTGGAACCCCCCAAGGCGCTTTACAACACACTCAGTCATTCATCCATTCACACACACATTCACACACTGGTGGGGATGAGCTACGATGTAGCCACAGCTGCCCTGGGGCGCACTGACAGAGGCGAGGCTGCCGAGCACTGGCGCCACCGGTCCCTCCGACCACCACCAGCAGGCAACGTGGGTTAACTGTCTTGCCCAAGGACACAACGACAGCGACAGACTGAGCGGAGCTCGAACCAGCAACCTTCCGATTACGGGGCGAGCACTTAACTCCTGTGCCACCGTCGCCCACGGTGATTTATTTGCTCTATCCCGCCATCAAGTGGACGACTCAAGTAAAACTGTAAACCTTTAAACTGAAAAACTAAATGCTTATGATGGCAATATATTCTTAATATTGTCTTAAACTGTTCTTTTAATATACCGTCTGGTCCAAGAGAGAAAGGAAACTGACAGGACAGGGTTTCAACAGCACAGTGTGACAGGGGAATCAGCTGTGTTTTGCTGCCCCTTTTATTTCGAATCCGGCGCGAACCTGCGAGCCAGTACCTGAATCGGTCACGTGGTACAAGCTACCAACGAGGCCTCGAATGTCACTGCTTACGTAATCAACACAAGCCTCGATACACACTTCACAAAAAATCTTCCTGAATACCCAACACGTTTCGAAGTGTCAACACATCAGACAGATCACTAGTAACGGCTATGTGTAAAATAAGCAGAAGGGCTATTAACAGTTCTCTACATCATGAAAAGCTGCTTCAGAATAACACGCTGAGGATGAACGATCCAAAATTCTGGATCTAATCAACTCTGAGAAAGGGAGATTTGCAGTCTTTGGTCAGGCATGTCCAAAGTGCAGCCCTCAAAGGGATTTTGTGCTGCATTTCCAAAATGGTGGAATTTTTCATCTTCAGATGTACAATTAGCATTTTTATGTTCAAATTTTCATCTTTCTAAGGTATATTTTGAGCCTTTATGAGCTACCATGATTGACCATGAAATTATTTTAGCATAAACCATAACATTTTTGTCTATGGCATGTGTATTGGTACTTGATAGCTGAAAGTGCTCAGCTGCAAGTACTCATACTCTAGCTTAGACAAATGTATTGCATCCGAATAATTCTTTTTCCTATTTTTTTGTGGTTGTCAGATCATCCGGTCAAGTAGGCTCGGGGGACACGTGTTCCTCTTCCAGGAGTTTGTCCATCCTCCCAGGAGAGAGCCAAATCAACCAGATTGCCCTCAACACCTCAGGATCCTTCTTGTATGCTGCTGCTGGCAATGCTGTACGGATGTGGGACCTCCGCAAGTACGCTAGAGTTTTAGCTATGTAAACCTATTTAATAGCATACATTTCAAAATGGCTGGTTTCTTTTGTCAGGTTTGTGTCCACTGGGAAGCTGATTGGCCATTTGGGACCTGTCTTGTGTCTAAGTGTTGAAAAGTTGGACCACGGACAGGATGCGGTGCTCACTGGCTCCAAAGACCATCACATTAAAGTAGGAAACTTCACACACAGATATGTCTATCTGCATGTTGATGAAAACATGAAATAATCTGGTAGTTTTATTTTTTCAGATGTTTGAGGTGGCAGAAGGTGCTCAGGGCAGCGTCAGCTCCTGCCACACATTTGATCCCACACACCAGGACAGTGTGGAGTCTCTGACGGTGCATGGAGAAGTTCTCTATAGCAGCTCCAGGGATTATTGTATTAAGAAGTGGGACATGGCCAGTAAAAAGCTTTTACAGGTAAGGTGATATGTGCACTCAGGTTTTGACCCTGATTTAGAATCGATCCATGCTGCAGAAGGAGCTCTAACACTTGGTTGTTGTGTTACTGAACAGTCGGTCCATGTCCAAACAGACTGGGTTAGTGCTCTGGGAGTAGTGCCAGGCTCCCCGGTGCTCCTCAGTGGGTGCAGAGGAGGTCTGCTTTGCCTTTGGCATGTCGATTCACTTGCACCCCTCGGAGAGGTCCAAGGTCACGACAGTCCCATTAATGGACTGACCACCAACAGCACCCAACTGTTCACTGCCTCTGAGTAAGTCCAAAGTAGTCACCCAATTCTGAAGTTTGTGGTCTTATGGTATATCTCTGTCTGTGATCACAATGTTCTCTGTGCTCTTCATTAGTGATCGGACAGTGAAAGTTTGGGAAGCCAAGAGTCCTCCGGAGGATGGGATTCAGTAGAAATGCTGCTAACACAGCTGCAGATGAAGACTTGATCAGACATCCCAAAGATGGTCTGCATGGTACGATGGAGGATTAAGCAGAAACTGATCCTTCGACGGTGCTTCACAGGGATGTGTGTCGAGTCCATCCCATTGTATGGGGCCAGTATTTCCAGATGTTTTAGGATGCTGTAAAATGTATTGACCCTCTGAAGTCTTATAGGCTCGGGGACTGCTAGGCATTGAACCTGAGATAAAGCAAAAATAACACATGGATTTATTGATCCCATTGCTATTTTATTCAAACATTGTTGCACCAATCTAGAGCAAGACAACAAAAATTGACCTATGCTAAAGATAAAGCTGCTGCAGAAAGAGGAGAAAAATCTGGGTTGAAAAGCTAAATGTGTTGAAGGTTTCTGAGACTAGACATGAAGATTATTTGCTCCAACCTCAGCAACAACTGTGAGTTTATCCTGTGTTGATGTAAGACTGACTAAAGTCTTTACTGTATATGTGTGTGTGTGTGTGTGTGTGTGTGTGTGTGTGTGTGTGTGTGTGTGTGTGTGTGTGTGTGTGTTTGCGCACGCGCTTGTGTGTTTTCTCAATAAAGGACCAAACAACTTCTGAAACTTTCACAACTGCCAAACATTTCAGACGAGCAAACAGCAAATCACATATCTTGTGCTGGTTTTGTGCATTTTCTTTTCTCACTTTTCTTGTACTTTTTGTCAAGTTTCCTGCGTTACACGAGCAGCTAACCGTATTAAGTTTGAACAATGATAACCCTGAGAAGTAGAGCTCTAATTACATAAAAAAGATCCAGGTGGGAAAACAAGCTTTCTTAAAGGCTCTTAAACTAACCCATTGAACTGTTTTGTAAATGTGAGCTAACAAATGTAAAAGACAGTTTATTTAAAGGCTGCTCAGCTGTTTCTGCAGCATGTGAACTCGCAAACCTTTGAAGGATTAAGAGGATCATTCTGCATTCCTGCATAGCTAGTTTAGTTAGCGGTTAGCATGCTCGGTACGCCCCTTTAAAACGTATTCATGTTTATTCACATTACCAGTGAATTATATGTTTTCTCTTATGCATTTAGGGCTGTCGCTAAATTAAGAAAATTATAAAACTTGATAAACGTGCTAACTAGCTTTAACTGGCTAGCCTGCAGCACCTGCAGTTCTGTTTTAATCTCCAAACGATCTTTTTGGTTATGCATGTTGTGTTTTTTTTTTGGGGTGGGGGTAGTTTGTTTATCATTAATATTAAATGAGATAAAACGTATTTCATTGATCCACGGTTGGGAAATCATTGAGACAGCTCATCAGCAAAGCTGGTAAACAGCTTGGTGCAGTTAAAATATTTAGTAAAAAATATTTGAGATGATTAGATGTATTCTTTAAAGGCTGTTCAACCATATGGAGTCATGTTAATTTACTAACCATTGAAGGGTAAGGTGGAACCACTAAAAGCAGTGGGCATGATGAATGTGATGCCACAAACTGATTTGATTAAAAAAGTTGACTGAATTATGGAAATGTGCTAACTAGCTTTAGCTACCTGTGTGTAGGCTACATTGTTTTACGTAGTTTTCATTTTCTTGAATACTTTTTTTCTGTACACTGGTGGAAAAGTCAAATTATGTGTAAGTCACCATTTTATTAAGTTAAAATAGCAGGTTAAAACCGGTCATGGTGCAGATTCCTCAGGATTTCCTGAAATTTATTAAAAAGGTCCATCATTTCAGATATTGTCAGCCAGCAGATCATGTCAGAAGTGTTTTATTTAGCCGTGCTGTTGCCTTTGGCTTCTTTGTTTGGACTGCATCAAACACTTTCCTTCATTCAGGTTTTGCTTGTTTTTCTGTTAAGATTTGATGAGTCTTGCCCCTAGAGCATTTGCATTTATCGAGACGATGTTCGTAATCTGAATAATGTGAATCAGATTGATTTATGTTGGTGGAGTCATGCACATTTTGAGCTTCTGAGTCAGGATCAGATGCTGTGTGAGACGCAGTCTTCGTGAAGGCCTATGTTTGTTTCTCCAACCAAATGATGTGATGAGTTCTTGAGTTTAGCTGCATAGATGCTCTGCAAACAGCTTTGGGTCTTCGTCTCAAGCCCCACTATTTATTTGTTCTGTAGATTTGTGAAATTTTTGATGTGAGTTGCTGTAAATGTATTTTTCTATTGCCTCTTGTGTTCTAGAAAATGGTTTGCACAGAATTTATGCAATGGATTTTTTTCATCATTGAAGTTGTCAGTGCCTGTAAAAAATTCTAAACTTTATTTTTTTAAATTCCACCTTAACTGATGTGAAGTGTTCCTCTTTAACAACATTGGGAAACAGATTCCAACATTATCATTTGATTCAATAAAACTGCAGCTGATCTTCTAATCAAGTTGGCTCCCTTACAATAAACTCCACCACCATCTTTCAAAGTCAAAATGTAAGGACACTTTTATTAGATGTATTTGTAATAACCTTTCTCTTATGTAAATGTGTTTTTTTCTTCCTGAACCTTTTTTGCACATTTTGATTTGATGTAAACTGCAGCGTGTAAATAAATTGTCAATAAAAATTGACTTATGAAAGTGCAATCTGTGAGAAGAGATGAGAAATTTCCCCTGAAGACACAAATGAATCTGAATAGTGACAAAAGGATCAATATTTAATGGTCACCTGTACTAAAAGTAGCTCAGTGGTAATCAGGCTGGGAGAAGAGCACTGACCCAGCGCTGCTTGATTCTTTTGTTACTGCTAACCAAGCTAGCAACGTGTCTTACAGCCTGGTTTTGACAGGAAGACCCAAACAGTTACCCACACAACTCCTGTTATTGTGCATTTGATTGCTTTTTTTAAAATTAATTAATTTATTTTGCTCAAGAGTCAAATAGGATTGACCACCAGGACGTTTAACTGAACAGTCCTGGTTTTAGTTTCAGGTGGTTATGCTGGTCTGTGATGTGATGGAATCTAACCTGGGAGCCTACGGGTAGCAAAAACGAATAAATGTTTCAGACAGTATTCCATTTGGATCTCTTAAATATACTTTCACAAGAAAACTAAATGGTTTAGGGGTTTGAATGAGAAAAAGTAAAGTCTACTTGTATAATACATTTAAAGATAAAACTCCTAAGGCACTTTACAAGTGAAACAAAAACAAGAGACACAAGCATGCCAGAAACTCGAGCAAGCAGCAAACCTGAAGAATTTCACACAAAAGCCAGCTTGAAAAAAGATGGCACAGATAATGTAAAATCACTCCATTCCAGCTGAATGAGATGTATATTTCATACATTGTGATGCATCCCAACATTTGTTGCATCCACTGTTAGTAAAGGACACTTTTTCTTACAGACTAGTGAGGGTATTGGATAATATATGTGTAACGAAAGGCAAACAAAAGCATGAAACTTAAGTTTTTCACGTTACTCAAATGTCGTTATACATTTTACTTGTGTCACTCTGGGAAAAAAATATAACTTTTTTTAAAACACATGAAATTGCTACATAGATCAGCTTCAACTGAACCCAGCAGCCTTGGCTGATGAAATTCACCAAATGAAGAGAATGAGGCTTATGTTGAGGCTGAAAGCTGAACTTTACATAATAAGATGGGGCAAGTGGATTAGAGTCTGACAACAATCAGTGTGGTTTGTCTTAGTGCTGTATATCACCATATACACTGATGCTCTTCATAATCTTACTGTTTCATGCTTGTTATTTTCTCTATGACGAATATCTGTTGCCAATAAATGTTTTCTGTTTTGTACAATGAAGTATGAATCTGTTGATGAAACCTAAACAGAAATAGAAATAGTAGATATTTTCTTCATGTGCAGACACACAATTAATGAACTGGTAACGGTCTTCAGGCCAGTGGTGACCCTGGGTCTATGTACGTTGGTGGCCTTATCATGGTTTGGACTGGATTTAGTCTGAAGGTGATGTGGAAGGAAGGAGCTGCAAGGTAGCACAGTTGGTAACACTATTGCCTTTCTGTGTGGAATTTGCATGCACTCCTAGTACATCGGTGGGTTTTCTCCAGGTGCTCTGGCCTCCTCCCACAGAACATATCAGATTTATTGGTGGTGACTCTGTTATCCCTAAGCATGAGTGTGTGTGCATGGTTGTTTGTGTCTGTGTTTCCTTGTGATTGACTGGCGACATGTGCAGGGTGTCCCCTGCCTCTCGCTGTCCCGATGACTGTAGAAGGCAGACACCAGCTCCTGTGACCCCGGAGAGGATGAAACGGGTCCAGACAGTGAATGAGTGAGGTTGTGTGGAAACAAAACAACTAGAAAACACTTTCTGGTCAAACTAACATGAAGCACAAACATAAAAGGTTTTCCAAAAGCTGGCAGTTTTTGAAGGTGTTGTTTACTCGTTTATTCGATACATTTGCAGTGTTCTCTATTGTAAATCAATGCCTTCTGAGCAGTGTTGGGAGTAACTGTGTTATTTTTTAAGTAATGGAGGAATCTAATTAATTACTTTTCTTATCCTTGCAACGTCATTACCGTTACTGGGGGCGACGGTGGCACAGGAGTTAAGTGCTCGCCCGTAATCGGAAGGTTGCAGGTTCGAGGCCTGCTCAGTCTGTCGCTGTCGTTGTGTCCTTGGGCAAGACACTTAACCCACGTTGCCCGCTGGTGGTGGTCAGAGGGACTGGTGGCGCCAGTGCTCGGTAGCCTCGCCTCTGTCAGTGCGCCCCAGGGCAGCTGTGGCTACATTGTAGCTCATCCCCACCAGTGTGTGAATGTGTGTGTGAATGGGTGAATGACTGATTGTGTTGTAAAGCACCTTGAGGGGTTCCAGGACTATAGAAGGTGCTATATCAAATACAGGCCATATACCATTTACTGGGCATGTTAAGTGGTCTGTTACTATAATGTGGTTAAATGAAGCATAACGGATGTCAGACTATCTGGCACCCACACCAGTGATGTGTCGGTCCCAAAAGAAACTTCTCTTGAGCCAAGCAGAGCAGGAGTGAGTGACACCGGCTGTACCTGCACCCGCCATCCCACCCCAAGTCAGTTACAAACAGCAAATATGAACACACAGCACTGAACACCTCAGGGTGTTTGTTTGCAGATCGCAGCACACAAACTGTGGCAAGCCGTTTTAACATTTAATCAACAAACTGTTATTTCCTATTTCATTAAGCAATAATTTTATTTATTCTAGTAATACTTGTATTCTTTGTCAAAATTGTAAATGAAGACATCAACAGCACAGTTACTACTGAAATTATAATTAAGTATTGGCCCTATCCATAATAACAACTGCACTACAGGAGGAATGAAGTTTGAGACCTCTCAAAACTCCTAAAAATCTAAGGCGATCATTTTAACATTTATTAGGCTGACTGGATATATATTGCAGATATCCGTAATTCTATTGTTGCTAGTAGAAATTAACATACCAGATATCCATTATTGAATGAACTTTTCAGTTATCTAAAATGTTTATTCTAGATATTAAGAATCATGCAGTTACAAAAATATTTTACATTATAGATATTATAGATAACTGCTTTATAGAACATAAAAGTAATGTCACAGTTACTAATTATGGGCTGCATGGTGGCGCAGTGGTTAGCACTGTTGCCTCGCAGCACGAAGGTTGCAGGTTCGAAACTCGGCTGCGGCCTTTCTGCGTGGAGTTGCGTGTTCTCCCCACGGAGGGTTTCCGCCGGGTACTCCGGTTTCCCCCACAGATCACAACATGCCCTATAGGTTATAAATTGTAAGTCGCTTTGAATAAAAGCGTCTGCCAAATGAATAAACATAATTACGTTTGCAATGTGGTAACTGCATTACTAACTCAATAACTTTTATGAAAAAGTAATTTGTAACTATAACTAATTACTTTTTTAACGTAAGATGCCCAACACTGCTTATGATTCATTTAAAAAAATTTAAACGCTATGCTGCTTCTCTTGCGAGATGCAGAAGTTTGCTGGTGCAGAGGTGGGCTGAAAACAGCAGGATTACTCATTATTATTAATGAGATGCACACACCTCGCTTCTGATTGGCTAACAACACGATCAGCCATGTTGCAAAGTCACTACCACTCTGTTCTCTCTCTTCACTGCAAAAAAAAAAGTCTTCCTGTGGACGGGCACGAGCCAAGATGGGCGAGGCTATGAATGCAAATTCACATTGTGACATAGGTATGTGAGGATTTTAAAACCTAGCATTTCACTGTCTATTATTTATCAGAAGTTAATACAGGAGGTAGGTGCAGAAGACTGCTTTCATGTTGCACAAAAACTCAGAGTGACCGATTGTTATCAGAAGAAATCATTAAAAAGTGTTTTTTTCTGTCAACCACACCTTTAAATTACCACAATTAAGTTTTCAAATCCATTTTATTAATAACTAAGTGACCAAGGGTAAAAGATTTAGCTTCGTTAGTATTTGTTTGATTTAGGAAACAAAGAAAAAGAGCTCAGAAACATCCAGTCACCATTTTTATTTTCAAAGGTTGAAAAGAGGGCTGACAGACATCTAGAACTGCAGAACAGCATTTATTGAGGTAAAGATGTATAAACTGAAAACTTTATAGCTTGATTTGCATTTGCATGCTGTAAAAAGACCTAAATTAAACTTGATGTTGCCAAGCAACAAGCAGACTCCCAGGGAAGGCTCTACCTTGATGAAAATAATTTTCCAGCAACTTTCTCTTCTTTACCACTTCTGTTCCACCAGACTTTCACCATCATACACATACTTAAACACAATAGTTTAGTTACTGGCACCTTGTGATCAGTACTTTCTTGAAATCAAAAACACCTCCTTATGTGGGCTGAGTTTCACATCCAGTTTAATTGTAGCACAATGTAAGATGACTTTGGATGATAAATCCTCCTTTAATCTGCTCAGTGAACATATTGATAGTTGATGCGTGGGCCTAACCAGATGCTCTTGTTTCACAGTTAAATCAATCTGCATAATGTGTTTCGTATAGCTGCAGGTGCTCGGTATACAGGATGGGATTGAGGATGGGGCTTTTGTGCCTTGTTGTGTTTGCAGAAAAATGCATCTGCTGAAGATGTTGTTAGACATCATTTAGAACTGTGCTGTCACTATTGCTTGGCCGTAATGAGAATTGCTGCAGGTTTTTCTGCTTCTCCATAATTATTGTTACATGGAAACAAGCCAGAGGAATCAGAAGACGCTTCTGCAGCAGACAGAAAATGAGAAGGTGTTTGGAGAGCTGACAGAAATGGCCAAGTGGTAGTTAGAGACGTTTTCTGGGAAGGTGATGAGTCTCTCGAGGATAGGGTCAGTATTTACCACCCCAGCTCCAGCTTTGGAGTGGATTCTCTTGCTAAAAATACCGCCGCAGCTCTTTTATGACCAGAACTGATGAGTCGCATTACTGCTGCTTGCTCTCCGAATTTAAAGTAAAGAGATGAACCGTCCCTCTCTGGGGATACCAGTAAGGACAGATGGGAACGAGCAACACTTGGATATGCCTATGAAGGAATGTGTGCATGAAATTAGAGAGATGGGCATTTAAATGAATCACATCTGTGATTTTCCTTCAGTTTTCTTTGCAACAAAGTGAGCCAGAATAAAGCCCTGT